ATTTAAACGCCCTTTTTTGTAATTTTTGGTCACTAATTTATTTACAAATTGGGTTAGAAATATGGCCTTTTTTTGTAAAACTCGGAAATTAGCGTAAATTTATCACTCCTATTCTCCTTAAAGCAGCTACTTCAGTAATATATTTCCACTATTGTAATTTTTGGTCACTAATTTATTTACAAATTGGGTTTGAAATATGCCCTTTTTTGTAAAATTCGGAAATTCTTTATTACATTAACTTTAACCTATCAATCACAATTTATTAAATAAAAACACCTTCAAAACCACGCGTCTGCCTTTGGCTGCATATGCATATTAAATGGCGGCGTTTAGCTGTCAAACTGCAAAATATACAAGGATGAGAGACAAAATAAAATATGATATAACCCAGTCAGCATTAAAAAAGCAGAAAGGTGATCTCTGCAAAAGGTGTTCAGCCCCCTTTCTTTGGCAACACAGAAGAGAATTCTACGTAGTGAGGGTTATAATCCCTAAGGGCGGCCGAAGGCCGCCTACGCAGAAAGGTTTTCTCTGCAAAAGGTGTTCAGCCCCCTTTCTTTGGCAACACAGAAGAGAATTCTACGTAGTGAGGGTTATAATCCCTAAGTGCGGCCGAAGGCCGCCTACGCAGATAGATGTTCTCTGCAAAAGGTGTTCAGCCCCCTTTCTTTGGCAACACAGTAGAATTCTACGTAGTGAGGGTTATAATCCCTAAGTGCGGCCGAAGGCCGCCTACGCAGAATGGTGTTCTCTGCAAAAGGTGTTCAGCCCCCTTTCTTTGGCAACACAGAAGAGAATTCTACGTAGTGAGGGTTATAATCCGTACGTGAGGCCGAAGGCCGCCTACGCAAAAAGAAGTTCTGCGCTAAAATACTATCATATTACTATTACTACAACATTTCTATCTTTCGCTTCCCACCATGCAAAACATGAGAAATAGGCAACAATCGTCAATGGCAACAAATTGGCGACTCACCGATTGATTGCTGTGGTGACAAATCGGCAACATCACTTCGTTCATGTCAATTTTGAATAAAAAAGTTCTCAAAAATTCCGAAACTTATGAATATGGCGTCAATAGTATTGGCCAAAAGCATCTAAATTATGCCCAAGGACAAGATTGAAAAAATAGGAAGTCGCACAGCGAGAAAATGAATTAATTCCGATTGTAAGTTGCAATTTGGTACAAAAAAATAAATGAAGTATTAAAAAGAATAAAATTACTCCAAAAATCGCCTGAAGCGATAAGAAAAGGACTCATTCAGGTAATAAGAAAACGACTCGCCCAGGCGAGTTGCCTTCGGCGGACGTAAAGTGGCGACTGTCCCCTTTCGAATGAGGGGGATTTGGGTAGCCACGCCCCCTGCCCCTCCGGCCCCAACCCCAAAAACGATGGGCCAATAACTAAACATTTCCCAAAAATATCCAGTAACTTGCCAGTAACCAAATTTCGGAGAGTAAGCCAATATTTACTACCTATGAGTGAAATATGCAAGTACGAAAACGCAAAACCAGCAAGAAGTTGCTAGTTTTATAAACAGCTGATTAATTTGTTATTTTCCGATGCAATTTTCATAGAAAACTAGTGTTTTCCATCTTATTATATATTTAAATAGGTATATTTTGCCAATTGCAACTCTAAAAGCACCATAAACAATTATTTTCTTAATGTGATTTACAATTAGCATCATGCCATCAGCTGTTTTTCTTACTAGCAAATAGTTGCTAGTAAAACTTTATCCAGTAAAAATCCAGAAAAACTTGCAAGTTCAGCTGTCACTTTTGCTCTCTCAATTTACCCTCTTTTGCTAGTTTCTTGCAAGTTTTAACGACATCCAGTAAAAACCAGTAAAATTAGTACTGGATTTACTGGATAGTGAGTACGCGAACAGGGCCTGCCGACATTTCCGGACCTTTTTTAGGGGTTGTTACCCTACACAAGAGAATTACCTTTTTGTTTTTTGTTGTTGAATGAACCACATTTTTATACAAAATTGGCGGAAAAACATTAGAATAAAAATTGTTGCATATACATATTTTGAAAAATTTGCTGTGCCAATACTTTGTTCCGGCAGGGAACATGTGTATTTTGAAGGCAACTAATGGCGCAATAACTTACCAACTTTCAACGTTATTCGTTGTTGATCGTCAAACCTTATATTTTCAAAATTTTCTATATCACCTACGGATTTAGGTCGCTGCTTTTTAAAAAAACAATCTTCATGATACCACATCGGCTGCTTTCCGTCGTGAAAAGCCGACTAAAAAGAGTAGCAGTTATTTTCTGAAACCATACGTATGTATAGATTTTGCAAACCTGTACAATTGCAGCTAAACGAAGGGAGCCTTGTGATATAGAGCATTTACACATTTTACAGGAAGAACGGCCACTCTTGGCGTATTCAGTTCTATAAGGCAGTTCGATATCCATTTCAAACGTGTGGAGAAATATTTCCCTTTTAAAATTTACACCAAACAAAATCAATAAATGAACCGCTTTATACGAAGCCGCGATTTTATGATTACAAGTAAACACATCGTATTACACATCGATATTTTCTCAATTTACCAAGTATTTTTGTACTCGATACTTTTTACTGCGATCCAAGTAGGTATCAGTGTTGCCAGATTTTATTTAACACATGCACATGCACACACAGGCACATGCAGCAGTACATAGCATGTATTTAGGCGCCTGGTGTTAGC